GGGGGGATAAGTAAAGGCTGGGTTGGCTCGTCGACTTGATGGCGTTGATAGTACAGTTCAGTAGTTACCTGGTGCTAGATATAAATAATTGCCATCTGAATTTTTCTTCAGAAGTTCGATTGTTTGTTAGACCTAGATTTCTATTGTGTATCCTCGCTCGAAGATAGTTTGATTGTATGTTAGACCTAGATTTATATTGTGTATCCTCGCTCGAAGATAGTTTGATTGCAGGGTCGCTGGAGGCGATTTACTGATCTGGTGGTATGTTGAAGCTTAAATGCATATGTTAATATGTTTCAATTTTTAACATCACTTATGTAATGTTTCTGAACGTACACGCTCATTATCCCATTTCCTTATAGCGAGTAGAAACATGGTCTGGTCGAACACTTTGACAGTAGTTAATGTAGTGTTATCTGTGAAGCAACGCTAGTTTTGTATTCAGGGAAATAAACAGATGTTCAGTGTGATGATTCTAGTTCAGTTGCTTGATTCAAGATATAATGTCTGTAGTTTGTGCACAGGGTCTGGCAAGGCATTGCCTATTTAGTAATATATTGTTATTGTTGTGTGGCTCATTATTCATATATCCTTTGCCAGGGTTTTGACCACATTTTATGGCCCTTTCACAGAAGAACCTTTGTCTTTTCTTTACTCTTCCTGTTTTTGCTGTTCAGGGGGAACTACTGATTATTATCCTTTCACAGTTTTCTTTTCCTCATCTCCCTACTTCCCAGTTTGTTTCTTGTCCTCCAAGGGGCTGCGTGGTCTCGGGGCATGGTGTCTGCCTCGAGTGCTAGAGGTTCAGGGTTCAATCCCCGGTAAGGGCTGGGATTGTTTCACGTGGACTTGGACTTCTAGGAATTCCCCTTGGTCTCTGGGTAGTGAGATCGGACGCCCGTGTGCACTGTTGCGTATTATAAAAAATCCCCTGGCAGTTAGAAATCGAAAAGAGTAGCATTACGGCGCTGCCCGGGCAAAATTTGGAGTTAAAAATCTACCCAAAATATTTCAGGATCCTCGCCGATGCTACAAGGCTTGTGCACTGTTCTGAGCTACTTCGCACTCAGACTTGAGTTAGAAGAAGTACGGGGCACCCATGTGCCATGATGTTGATCCATTGTTCAAACCTCAAATCTCAAATCCGTTTCCTTCTTCTGGCTAGCACACTTGGATAGGTAGGTAATTATTGCTCTCCGGAGGTTGAGCACTTCAAAGAATCACAAAGGGGCAAATCCCAGACACACAGTTTAATCGTACCACAGTTATATCAGGACAACTCCTTCAGTTAGGAAGTAGCATGTAGTAGTAGTAGTGCTTCTTTTTCTCCATCTGTAAACTACGGCCAAAAGTCCTGGTTGTTTATCCACTTCTGGACTGTGGTCTTGATCCAGATCCATCGTTTATTTGCACAGCCGTTTTACAAATCTGGCTTTGTTTATATGCAAACTGTTGGTTCCTCGCAGCTCAGGCAGATGGTCTTCGACTTTTGAACAAAATCATCCCTAACGAGTCTCATTTTGACCAGATGCTTGTTAGGGATGCAGTCGATCTATAGCCCCCCCCCCCCGCTCCCCCCCCCCCCGGGATATTGTAACCTGCACGGGGAACCGCAGTGTAACTCGTTTCATTTTCCCATGTAGTGTTGTCGTGCTTTCTGACTGGTCTGACCGCTGTTGTTAAATTAATAAATGGCTGGATCACTGTTTTGTGTGTTCATATAAGTGTTCGTGTTGTCTCGAGATTGAACACATAAGTGTTCGTGTTGTCTCGAGATTGAACACATAAGTGTTCGTGTTGTCTCGAGATTGAACACATAAGTGTTCGTGTTGTCTCGAGATTGAACACATAAGTGTTCGTGTTGTCTCGAGATTGAACACATAAGTGTTCGTGTTGTCTCGAGATTGAACACATAAGTGTTCGTGTTGTCTCGAGATTGAACACATAAGTGTTCGTGTTATCTCGAGATTGAACACATAAGTGTTCGTGTTGTCTCGAGATTGAACACATAAGTGTTCGTGTTGTCTCGAGATTGAACACATAAGTGTTCGTGTTGTCCCGAGATTGAACACATAAGTGTTCGTGTTGTCTCGAGATTGAACACATAAGTATTCGTGTTGTCTCGAGATTGAACATATAAGTGTTCGTGTTGTCTCGAGATTGAACATATAAGTGTTCGTGTTGTCTCGAGATTGAACACATAAGTGTTCGTGTTGTCTCGAGATTGAACACATAAGTGTTCGTGTTGTCTCGAGATTGAACACTCGATTAGCCTCACTAACCTGGCATAGTAGGGGGCGGGGGGAGGCGGGACTAGAATAACTAGTTGAAGGACAGTTTAAGGGCACCGCCAGGAGCGATCCCGTGTGTCGGGGATCCTTCCATCAAGACGTGTGTGGCTAAGTCATTAACATTTGATACACCTGGAGCTACGAATGGCGTGTTTCAAATCTCTAAACGTCATCTGCAATGAGACTGATTCACGTCCTCCTCCCCCGACAGGCCTGACCACTCGCTATGACGTATTAGCTGTAATTACTTGTTATGACGCGATAGTTGAAATTATTCGCTATGCCGTGATATCTGTAATTACTTGTGACGTGCTAGCTGTTATTACTTGTTATGACGTGGGGTAGTTGTAGTTACTTGTTGTTTGTGTTGTGACAATCTACGTCACTGAACTTGAGGCATCCCCATGCGTGCTCAGTCCACGGTACATCAGCTCACTGTTTCCATGAGAAACTGCATGTGAAATCTCTCTTGACTTCGAGGGCGGCATTTACATTCTTGGCCACATTCCACTCCCAAGTCACGTAGTGTATCGCAAGATACTTGTCACTATCATCCAACTTACTCTATGCAGCATTAACTCCTTCAGCCAGGTCCGTGCTTCTTACCGTTTGAATTAGTTGCCTCACTGGTCAGTTGGTCTGCATATTTATAAATGACTCTTTACTGCGGACATTCAGAGCGGAGACTACCGCTGCATTGTTCTGTAGCATGTTGATGAAGTCAGACCCGATTGCAAGGTTTGGCTGTTTGTTGCTCTGCCATTAAGTTGAGTTGAGTCAAAAATTGATATCACAGCGCTCGTGGCATTCCCACGTGTGCTCCGTCCTCATCTTCAGCAGCCAGCGCAGAGTTCCAATACTGATGATACCGGTCACAGTCTGGTTATATGTTCCGTTTTGCCTTTCGTCTGAGTGTAGTGAGTCGGTCAGACCCTTTGGTTACACCCAGGTGCCTCATTCTCTCCAAACCATAATAGTCTTGTTTCTCTACTGATTCCGTTGCATGTTCCCAAAGGGGCCTTGACCACATCTGCTTTGTCATGTATCAATTCACCACCAAGTGGTGCAGATGCAGCCAATCTGTCTGCCTGTCCATCACCCACTACGCCGGCATAGATTTTGCTGCTATTGTTGTAATCTCGGTAACCTGCTTCCTGCTGTTGTGGTGTGAGTAATTGTGTAATTGTGAACCACTGGATCTAAAACATGGATCAAAAACATCACCACCACCACGATCATCATCATCATCATTACACTAAGCACCAACATCATCACGTTGTCATCACTAGCATCATTACCACCATCTTAATCATCATCCTGCATGTCTCATTATAGTCGCCGTGGCAGAGCGGCTAGACGCGCGCCGCGGATCAGAAGGTCGTGGGTTCGCTCCCTGGCGGAGACGGACTTTTCTTCAAAAATGACCTTGGCTCCCAGGTCGACCCAGCCTTGAGTGGGTACCGGGTGCAGTCCCTGGAAGTAGAGGCGGCCGGCGTGATGCTGACCACATCACCCATCTTGTGCCGTTGGTCTATAAAAATATAGGTCTAGCCCTATATGCCCTATACGCCTAAAGGCGTGGAAAGGGTCCTTTACTTTTTTTTACTTATGTCTCATTATAAACCCTTTAACAGTAAAGTTCATTGATGCTCGTTGGTATTATTACAGCCATTGATGTAACTACTACCACCATTATCAACATTTCCAAAACCACCAACGTTAACATCATCATCGTGATGAACATCACCATAATTATAATCATCAGCATCATCACTACCACCAAGATCATCAACATTACCACCATCACCATGACTACCACCACCACTACCATCATTATCATCACCAACACCTTCACCCTCACAGTCACCACTATCAATATCACCATCATTATCACTGTGATCACCATTATCACTATCATCATCATCATCATTATCAATGTGATCACCATTATCACTATCATCATCATCATCATTATCACTGTGATCACCATTATCACTATCATCATCATCATCATTATCATCCACAGAAACACCATCAACAACAACAACAACAGTATCAACACCAACAACAACAACAACAACAACAACAAAAACATCACCACAATCATCCCAATCACCACCACCTCTGTGTTAAGAATACTGAGGGTACTGGTGGGTTATGATAGTGGTGGATTATGTGGTGTTCATGACGACAAGGACGATGATTTGTTGTCATCTTTCCAGGTGATAGTATTTCTTCTTCTTTCCATTGGTCAGAGAGACGTAAATGCACTGTGCCTGTTTACAGCAGAACTGCGATAGTTGCACCTTTCGACTAACATATCCTACTTTATCCATCATTTCTTGACCCGGTAAACTTCGCGGATGGCAATAGTATTTTACTGTGCTGTAGGCAGGCATGAGAATCACACTCGTGGTGATGGCGAGTGTAACTAGCAGGACCTGCTTGTGTTAAGAAACATTTTCAACAACTAGAGCATGGGATTTCAGCCCCGCTGTTCCCATTGTATATATAAAATCTGCTTCTTCTCCGGGGCTCAACTGTTTAACCCGTCTGCAGTCATTTTCTCCTTGATTCCTTTTCCCTTCCTAATTTCCCCCCACCATGCACCATGGTTCAAGATGATTATTAGGGAGGGGAATAAAAAAAATGATGATGATGATGATTCTTTCTGTCCTGATAGAAAATGAAGACGTGAGACACACCACCATGCGGGAATTGAAGATGCTTCGGACTCTGAAACAGGAGAACATTGTAGAGCTTCGAGAAGCCTTCAAGCGCAAAGGAAAACTTTATCTTGTGTTTGAGTATGTAGACAAGGTAATATTGACATGGGGAAACTTTGTCTTGTGTTTGAGTATGTAGACAAGGTAATATTGACAGGGAGAAATGTTGTCTTGTGTTTGAGTATGTAGACAAGGTAAAATTGACAGGGAGAAACGTTGTCTTGTGTTTGAGTATGTAGACAAGGTAATATTGACAGGGAGAAACGTTGTCTTGTGTTTGAGTATGTAGACAAGGTAATATTGACAGGGAGAAATGTTGTCTTGTGTTTGAGTATGTAGACAAGGTAAAATTGACAGGGAGAAACGTTGTCTTGTGTTTGAGTATGTAGACAAGGTAATATTGACAGGGAGAAACGTTGTCTTGTGTTTAAGTATGAAGACAAGGTAATATTGACAGGGAGAAACGTTGTCTTGTGTTTGAGTATGTAGACAAAGTAATATTGACAGGGAGAAACATTGTCTTGTGTTTGAGTATGTAGACAAGGTAATATTGACATGGGGAAACTTTATTTTGTGTTTGAGTATGTAGACCCCTGTGTGGGTTCCGGGGCCCCATTGTGGGGAAAAAAAAGAATAGACCCACTGCCTCCCCAAAAGCATGTTGTAAGAGTCGACTAATTGGGGAGCTTCCTTTGAAGTCGGAGTGCATCTTCCTGAGAGGCAAGGAACCCACAGTCTGTATTCAAGAGAATGAGATCTGTAAAACTGATGCACACGCAACACTCAGGTTCTGGAGCAGGACTGCAGTTCAGTAGTGGACGAGCAACTAGCACTTTCCGCCAGAGTGTACAGCTGGTGAACGCGAAGAAGAAGAAGAAGAAGTATGTAGACAAGGTAATATTGACAGGGAGAAGCTTTATCTTGTGTTTGAGTATGTAGACATGGTAATATTGACATGGGTAAACTATATCTGGTGTTTGAGTATGTAGACAAGGTAATATTGACATGGGTAAACTATATCTGGTGTTTGAGTATGTAGACAAGGTAATATTGACATGGGGAAACTATATCTGGTGTTTGAGTATGTAGACAAGGTAATATTGACATGGGGAAACTTTATCTGGTGTTTTAGTATGTAGACATGGTAATATTGACATGGGGAACTTTATCTTGTGTTTGATAATGTAGACATGGTAATATTGACATGGGGAAACTTTATCTTGTGTTTGAGTATGTAGACAAGGTAATATTGATATGGGGAAACTTTATCTTGTGTTTTAGTATGTAGACAAGGTAATATTGACATGGGGGAACTTTATCTTGTGTTTGAGTATGTAGACATGGTAATATTGACATGGGGAAACTTTATCTTGTGTTTGAGTATGTAGACATGGTAATATTGACATGGGGAAACTTTATCTTGTGTTTGAGTATGTAGACATGGTAATATTGACATGGGGAAACTTTATCTTGTGTTTGAGTATGTAGACATGGTAATATTGACATGGGGAAACTTTATCTTGTGTTTGAGTATGTAGACAAGGTAATATTGACATGGGGAACTTTATCTTGTGTTTGAGTATGTAGACATGGTAATATTGACAGGGAGAAACTTTATCTTGTGTTTGAGTAGTTAGACAACAGCAAACTTTTTATTTTTTATTTTGAAAAGGTAAAATTGACAAGGGGAATATTTATCTTGTATATATATATATATATATTGACAAAGTAACAATGACAAGCAGGAAGTTCATGTTTCAGGTGTGTAGACTAGGTCACATTGACGAGGGGAAGTATTATGTTTGTGTATGTTGACAAAGTGACATTGCCTGAGAGGCACAGAACCAGCAATCTGCATCCAAATAAGTCAGATCTGTAAAAGGGATGTGCACACAACATTTAGGTTTGGAACAAGACTCAAGTCCAGAGATGGACACCGGAGTTTACAGCCAGTGAGCGCAAAGAGGAAGAAGCCACCTGGCCAGCCACATCTCAAGAGAGGTTGTTCTGATGACTAAATGTGTAACCATTGAAGTTTTCTGGTAATGAAATGATGCTTTGCTTTGACTGAAGAATATGCTGGAGCTGTTGGAACTGCACCAGAACGGTGTTCAGTTTGAAAAAGTTCGAAGCCTGACCTATCAGTTGTGCAAAGCTGTTCAGTGGTGTCATGCCAGGAATATCATTCACAGAGGTAGGTGTCTGCTTGGTCTTGTGTTTCCTTAGGTTACCACTTAGGGTTAAATCTGTGCAACAATGCAAGAGAACCTGGATGTTAGCAAGAGCCTTTGGGAGCAAGTGATCAGTTAGGAGGAGGAAACAGATCATCATGGTTTTAAGCGAACTGTGCAGCAGGAAGGGAGTAGGCGATCTGGCCAACAGGCAGCCCGGAGGGGAAAAGCCAGATAATCTGGCCAACAGGCAGCTCGGAGGGAAAGCCAGATGGAGATCTGGCCAACAGGCAGCTCGGAGGTCAAAAGCCAGATGGAGATCTGGCCAACAGGCAGCTCGGAGGGAAAGCCAGATGGAGATCTGGCCAACAGGCAGTTCGGAGGGGACAAGGGAGATGAAGATCTAGCCAACAGGCAGCTCGGAGGGGAAAAGCCAGACAGAGATCTGGCCATTAGGCAGCTCGGAGGTCAAAAGCCAGATGGAGATCTGGCCAACAGGCAGCTCGGAGGTCAAAAGCCAGATGGATATCTGGCCAACAGGCAGCTCAGAGGGAAAAAGGAGATGGAGATACAGTCAGAGTGCTACTGGTACCATTAGAAATAAAATGTTTTTTTGGTTGTTGGTGTTGTACTATTAGTACGCCACGAACAGCTCACAGTTTATCCGAGGACCTCATTTTTGGAAAAGGAAAAGGGGGGGGTATTACACCCACTGCACTCCTACCAAGCATAATATGAAAGTTAGGGATCTTTTCTTCGAAGTCGGAGTTCACCTGCTCGAGAGGTAGGGAACTAACAGTCTACCAGATGAGATGTGGACTAATGATCTACAGTAACATGAGATGTGGACTAATGATCTACAGTAACAGGAGATGTGAACTAATGATCTACAGTAACATGAGATGTGGACTAATGATTTACAGTAACATGAGATGTGTACTAATGATTTGCAGTAACATGAGATGTGGCAGACCTGCTTGATGTTGCAACCACTAACTGTGGACTGCCCATATTTATGTGGATTCTTGTGGCTAATTAGATATTTATTTAATGGCTAATTATATATTTTTTAATGAATAATTTTATTTTTTAAATGGCTTCTCAGATATTAATGTGAGTGGCTAATTAGATATTTTTTAAAAAGCATTATTGCAGTCGATAGGAGACTCGTTTCAAATCCAGTTGCGACTCGCTGCAGCCCACGGTCAGTGTTCAAAACCGGGCGGTTCACAGGGTTCACCCAGTCTCTAGGAAATGGGTACCAGAGTTGACAATCTGGGGGTAAATGGAGGAATGCTGGTGTAGCAGTTACGTGTGGGCGTCGTCACAGGCGGACAGTTTCTCATCATCTGTCTGTACTGGTGGCAGAGCACTTATGGTTTATGACCATGTGCAATGACGCTGGTTCACATCTCCCGTCTTTACCATTTTACCTTTAAATTTTTTTTAAAGATTCATTAGATATTTCTGTAAATGCATAATAGTATTTTTGTGTGGATGATTTCAGACATAAAGCCAGAGAACCTCCTCATCAGTAAAGCTGGTGTCCTGAAGCTGTGTGACTTTGGTAAGATCTAGCAAGGCAGCACACTGTCTGCTCATGTAAATACTGTTATTTCTGTTAGCTTGTGTGACTTTGGTAAGATCTAACAAAACAGCATATTGTCTGCTCAAGTAAATACTGTTATTTCTGTTAGCTTGTGTGACATTATTTGTTTCTAAATTTTATGTTCATCTCTTGTAAGTATTCTGCATACAACTAAACCAGATCTGTAAATTGGATGTGCACACAAAATTAAAATTCTGGAACAAGTTCAAAGTCCAGAAGTGGACGAACAACCACAACTTTTCCTGAAGTTTACAGTCAGTCAGCGCTGGAAAGAAATAGTAGAAGAAGAAGAAGAAGATATTTTAAGGAATGAGGAACAATGTTCTTAATGAGCCAATCCCTCTTGTTATAAAAATTATGAATAACTGTAATTATCGCTACATGTATTAATCATTGTTTCAGGTTTTGCTCGTAACATTGCTGGGGGAGCTGATGACTTGTTCACAGATTATGTTGCTACAAGATGGTACCGTTCTCCGGAGCTCCTCATTGGGTAAGTGGTTGTCATGGTCACAACCAGCCTCAAGGCATGATGGTCTAGGTCACTGGCTCCTAAGTAGATCCCACCCCACCTATGTTCGAAGCCTTTCCATGGACTCTCTTCCCCCTTTCCCCTACTTTTCAAAGAAAATATTTAAAATTAGTTTTCATAGTAAATCTATAAATTTCAATTGCAACAAATTCTTCGTTATTCTTCAAGTTCACAGATCAAACTCTAGGTGAAGGTTCTGGTTGTTTTCCACTTCTGGACTTTTTCCTTGTTCTAGAACTTGAGTTTTGTGTGCACATCCGTTTTACAGCTCTGACTTATTTGTATGGAGACTTACTTGTATGTTGGTTCCTTGCCTCTTAGGCAGACACACTCCGACTTGGTTTCTTGCCTCTCAGGCAGACACACTCCGACTTGGTTTCTTGCCTCTCAGGCAGACACACTCCGACTTGGTTCCTTGCCTCTCAGGCAGTCTCACTCCGACTTGGTTCCTTGCCTCTCAGGCAGACACACTCCGACTTGGTTCCTTGCCTCTCAGGCAGACGCACTCCGACTCTGACTTTAAAGAAAACAGCCCCTAATTAGTCACCTTTTACAACATGCCTGTTAGGACAATAGTCTGTCTGTTCTATTTAAGAGAATTGTAGCCCAAAGAAAAAGTAGTTGATTTGTTGGACCGACCACCAGAGGGTCATTGACCTCCAGTTGAGAACTACTGGTCTTAGCTGCCGAGGGCCCATGCACTCGGGGAGTCCTATATTTCTAGGAAATATGGTTGGAGCGGAGAAAGTTGTGGATACAGATGACTTCCTGTGCCAGGTGGCATCAGCTGTGAGAAGAAGATGCTCTGAAATGGGGTAAGAATGGGCAAGGGAAAAAAAAGACAGATAAATAATGAATGGTTTATAAATAAATGATTACTAGCCATGGTATCAGAGATGTTTGTGGCCAGATCTGTGAATAATTGAACAATAGTTCTTTCTTTCTTTCTTTTGTCCATGTTCTGCTTTGTGCCATGAGGTGTCAGAGGTTAAAAGATGATTTGGGTCTTATCTAGGGCACACTCGGTTGCCTAGGAAGCTGTGATGTTGTCAAGTCTCAACTTGACGGTGACTCCTTCAGTCCATCTTATTCTTGATTGTCCCATACATCTTGGTGTTTCTACTTTTATGTTGAATATTCTCATTGCTGGCATTGTTGCATTAATTCTCATCAAGTGCCCAAACCATTTCATTATTTGATTTTCAATGAATTTAAATATAGTTCTTTTAATTTCTTTGTTTCTCACATGACCCCTTCTAGTATTGTTCACAACCTTTCTCAGACATCTCATTTCACAGGTGGTCAGTTTTCTTTCATGTTTCTTTAGTCAATGTCCAGATCTGACACTCTCACTACAAGGTTGGTATCAAGACTGCATTTATAATTTGCCTTTCTGTCTCTACTGCAATAGCTGGGCATTTAAAAATTAGGCTCAGTTGATACTTGAGGTTGTTGGCTTGTTGGATTCTTGTTTCAGTCTCTCTGTCTATTCTGCCACCATATGTAAAGATGCTCATCAAGTATTTGAAGTGAATTATGTTTAGTGTTTGGTAGAGAATTGAAATCATAGTGTGGCATGATGATTTTGACTGTAGGCACGAGGAATAACAAAGGCCATTATGCGATGTATAAAGGATACCCAATACCTCGGGCACACTCTCTGTGCTGATTTTATGGAACCTCATGCAGACTTCTACCATATGTTCATATCATGTACCCCGAATGATTGTGTATGTCTGCCAAAATTGAGTTGACGTGGGATCTCAGAGCTGGTGGTTGCCAGAGATGCAGTGTCCAAATAGCTCTTTTGCAATCATCAGCCCACTCCCAATGCATGAATGACAGTATGTCTCGAGGACTTCTTCTTCTTCTGCGTTTTTCCACAGATGTAATTGCCTTGTGCATGGCTGCCAAATTTGCACCTTTAGGCCGACACATCTGACTTCTGCGAGCATTTGTTGACCAGGTTAGCCTTCAGGGATCAATGACTTGTTGCTACAGTCAGAGAATTCTATGGACTGAGCCTCCTATTTAAAGACAAACAATGGTTCACATTTCTGCTGATCGAGAGAGTCCTAGTAAATGCCAGATACAACTGGTTCAGACTGTCTGCAGTCGTCTTAAAGATGGGATGAACGTTTCCTTTGAGGTCAGAGTGCATCTGCCTGTTGGGAAAGGAAATAACAGACTACACAGATCCATAGAGCAAATGTACATGACAAAACTGAAGTCCTAAAACAAAGTCAGAGTTCAGAAATGAATGAACAGCCAGGATTTTCTGCCAGAGTTTACAACCTAAGAACGCAGACAAGCAACAGCAAAATCATAGCTTTTCAGGCAATACCTATAAGTTCATCTGTTTCACCCGTTTATTGTTGCAGATAGTTATTATTGGTTGTTTCAGCAACATTGCTTGTTTTAAAACACCGGCTCCCTGCATATCTTATCAGAAAGACACTGATATCAACTGAAGTATCATTGATTATTTTATATCATTTGTTTTTTTGTCTTCAACTAGCAGTCATTTATGGACATCTTCTTTGTCCACTGCGTTGCAGTTATTAAAGCTCTTGAAGCCAGAAGTGATTTTACTGAAACTTTAAATCTTTCATATGCTTATTAGATTGTAAGAAACTTATTAGGCTGGTAAAAGAGTCACTCAGAGGAAGAGGTTTAAGCCTCACCACATAAGGTTCCCCAAGAAAGCCATGGTACATTGTAACAACCTTCATTGTAGCAACCTTCATTGTAGCAACCTTCATTGTAACAACCTTCATTGTAACAACCTTCATTGTAACAACCTTCATTGTAGCAACCTTCATTGTAGCAACCTTCATTGTAGCAACCTTCATTGTAACAACCTTCATTGTAGCAACCTTCATTGTAGCAACCTTCATTGTAGCAACCTTCATTGTAGCAACCTTCATTGTAGCAACCTTCATTGTAGCATCCTTCATTGTAGCAACCTTCATTGTAACAACCTTCATTGTAGCAACCTTCATTGTAGCAACCTTCATTGTAGCAACCTTCATTGTAGCAACCTTCATTGTAACAACCTTCATTGTAACAACCTTCATTGTAACAACCTTCATTGTAACAACCTTCATTGTAGCAACCTTCATTGTAGCAACCTTCATTGTAACAACCTTCATTGTAACAACCTTCATTGTAGCAACCTTCATTGTAGCAACCTTCATTGTAGCAACCTTCATTGTAGCAACCTTCATTGTAGCAACCTTCATTGTAACAACCTTCATTGTAACACTGTAACAACCTTCATTGTAGCAACCTTCATTGTAGCAACCTTCATTGTAACAACCTTCATTGTAACAACCTTCATTGAAGCAACCTTCATTGTAGCAACCTTCATTGTAGCAACCTTCATTGTAACAACCTTCATTGTAGCAACCTTCATTGTAGCAACCTTCATTGTAGCAACCTTCATTGTAGCAACCTTCATTGTAGCAACCTTCATTGTAGCAACCTTCATTGTAGCAACCTTCATTGTAACAACCTTCATTGTAGCAACCTTCATTGTAGCAACCTTCATTGTAGCAACCTTCATTGTAACAACCTTCATTGTAGCAACCTTCATTGTAGCAACCTTCATTGTAGCAACCTTCATTGTAGCAACCTTCATTGTAGCAACCTTCATTGTAGCAACCTTCATTGTAGCAACCTTCATTGTAACAACCTTCATTGTAACAACCTTCATTGTAACAACCTTCATTGTAACAACCTTCATTGTAGCAACCTTCATTGTAGCAACCTTCATTGTAGCAACCTTCATTGTAACAACCTTCATTGTAACAACCTTCATTGTAGCAACCTTCATTGTAGCAACCTTCATTGTAACAACCTTCATTGTAGCAACCTTCATTGTAGCAACCTTCATTGTAACAACCTTCATTGTAACAACCTTCATTGTAGCAACCTTCATTGTAGCAACCTTCATTGTAACAACCTTCATTGTAACAACCTTCATTGTAGCAACCTTCATTGTAACAACCTTTATTGTAACAACCTTCATTGTAGCAACCTTCATTGTAACAACCTTCATTGTAGCAACCTTCATTGTAGCAACCTTCATTGTAACAACCTTCATTGTAGCAACCTTCATTGTAGCAACCTTCATTGTAGCAACCTTCATTGTAACAACCTTCATTGTAACAACCTTCATTGTAGCAACCTTCATTGTAGCAACCTTCATTGTAACAACCTTCATTGTAACAACCTTCATTGTAGCAACCTTCATTGTAACAACCTTCATTGTAGCAACCTTCATTGTAACAACCTTCATTGTAACAACCTTCATTGTAGCAACCTTCATTGTAACAACCTTCATTGTAACAACCTTCATTGTAGCAACCTTCATTGTAGCAACCTTCATTGTAGCAACCTTCATTGTAGCAACCTTCATTGTAACAACCTTCATTGTAACAACCTTCATTGTAGCAACCTTCATTGTAGCAACCTTCATTGTAACAACCTTCATTGTAACAACCTTCATTGTAGCAACCTTCATTGTAACAACCTTCATTGCGGATACAAAATAGTTTAACTTAATTAGAGGGAAAATAGGGAGGAGCTGCTGGGGTGTAGTATCTTGACCTGGCCTGGGGATCTGGCGGTCATGGGCTCAAGTCTTGACCTTGCCTGGGGATCTGGCGGTCATGGGCTCAAGTCTTGACCTTGCCTGGGGATCTGGCGGTCATGGGCTCAAGTCTTGACCTTGCCTGGGGATCTGGCGGTCATGGGCTCAAGTCTTGACCTTGCCTGGGGATCTGGCGGTCATGGGCTCAAGTCTTGACCTTGCCTGGGGATCTGACGGTCATGGGCTCAAGTCTTGACCTTGCCTGGGGATCTGACGGTCATGGGCTCAAGTCTTGACCTGGCCTGGGGATCTGACGGTCATGGGCTCAAGTCTTGACCTGGCCTGGGGATCTGGCGGTCATGGGCTCAAGTCTTGACCTTGCCTGGGGATCTGGCGGTCATGGGCTCAAGTCTTGACCTTGCCTGGGGATCTGGCGGTCATGGGCTCAAGTCTTGACCTTGCCTGGGGATCTGGCGGTCATGGGCTCAAGTCTTGACCTTGCCTGGGGATCTGGCGGTCATGGGCTCAAGTCTTGACCTTGCCTGGGGATCTGACGGTCATGGGCTCAAGTCTTGACCTGGCCTGGGGATCTGGCGGTCATGGGCTCAAGTCTTGACCTGGCCTGGGGATCTGGCGGTCATGGGCTCAAGTCTTGACCTTGCCTGGGGATCTGGCGGTCATGGGCTCAAGTCTTGACCTTGCCTGGGGATCTGGCGGTCATGGGCTCAAGTCTTGACCTTGCCTGGGGATCTGGCGGTCATGGGCTCAAGTCTTGACCTTGCCTGGGGATCTGACGGTCATGGGCTCAAGTCTTGACCTGGCCTGGGGATCTGGCGGTCATGGGCTCAAGTCTTGACCTGGCCTGGGGATCTGGCGGTCATGGGCTCAAGTCTTGACCTTGCCTGGGGATCTGACGGTCATGGGCTCAAGTCTTGACGGAGCTGAACTGTTTGTAAAAAACAAAAATGATGGCTCATAGGTTGACCCAGCCTTAAATGGGTACAAGGTAAAGTCCTGGGAAGTAAAATTGGCCAGCGTGACTTTGACCACATCACCCACCCAGTGCCGATTGGTCTCTAAAATTTTGGTCTAGCCTTATATGCCCAATACACCTGAAGGCGTGGAAAAGGGCCCTTTACTTGACTTAGGATGGAAATGGGTCATAATTCCCCTGGTCATAGATTATTTGTCCGAGATTACATTAACTTGATAATATTTTCTCAAGTGTAAGACATTTCATTGCAAACTCCAACACTAGACCCGGGATTCAGAGTTTCAGATAGGATTCTGGAGTCTCTGTGCTACAGGTCTCATTTCTCTGTTTCAACAGTGCATCATACGGCAAAGCAGTGGACATCTGGGCTATTGGATGTATCATGGGGGAACTAGCCGATGGGCAAGCATTGTTTCAAGGAGAGACAGAGATTGACCAGCTCTTTGTCATACAGAAGATGCTGGGGCCACTTCCTGATGACCAAATGAAGACCTTCACCAAGAACCCCCGTTTCCATGGACTGAAGGTAGCACTGGAGCACTTTTACAATATTTGTAATGCTAGTTGTTGGAATTTGGATATCAGCATGTTGCTGATGATGTTAGATGTGTGATGTTTTGACACCGGATAGATATTGACCTTTGATTAAAGGATGTTAGATACAGACATTTGGAAGCCTAAAGAGAGATTAATCTTTGCAGACAGGATGTTTGGCTGATGTTGTTTGATGTGTAATGTTTCAACATCAAATAGTAAGTTATGAGTTTTTAGCTGAGACCCAATATCTTAGCACTTGGGACATTCCCATAAATTGTCCATCCCCATCTTCAGCAGCCAGCACAGATTTCCAATTCCGGTGGTACCAGTTAAAGCCTGATTCTTCTTCTTCTTCTTGGTGTGTCACCAGCTGTAAACTCTGGCGGAAACTTCTAGTTGTTTACCCACTTGTGGACTGCAGTCATGTTTGAGAACCTGAGTGTTGCGTGTCCACCTTACAGATCTGACTCATTTATATGCAGATTGCTGGTTCCTTGCCTCTCAGGCAGATGCACTCCGACTTTGAAGGAAGCTACCAATTAGTCGACTCTTAAGACATGCTTTTGGGTAGGCAGTGGGCCTATTCTTGTTTTTCCTATAATAGGGCCCCAAAACCTACATGGGAACAGTCTGATTGTATGTCGGTCTTTTGATCTCTGTGTGTTGGGTGTCGGCCAGAACCCCTGGTCACTCCTGGGCGCACTATTTTCTGCAGACCTTGATGTGTTTTGTGCCTCCACATTGTTTACTTGCATTCAAAGAATCTTCACAACATCTATTTTGTCACGTGGTTCTTTACAACGGAGTGATGCAGAACCAGCCAGTATATCTGCATGTTCATATCCCAACACACCTGCATTTCCTGGAGAAAATATCCAAAGGAGGCTAACTAATTGGAACCTCTGAAGTGATGCTTGCCACTCTGCATGGAGCATACCTGTCTTCACCTTTCTCAACATGCTCTATGAGTCAGTTACTCAGTTTCAATCATGATATATGTCTGCAGCTGGTTCTCAAGCGAGCAAAAGGCTGCAGTGACCACCTTCACCTCCATTCTCAAACCAGATGTTGTCATATCAAATGCAATTTGTATTGACAATTACATCACTAGGACAGACATTTTTGTGAATCATTAGTTGAACTTCCAGTTCTGCTGTGCCCACTGGTGTGTGATATTCACCCTAATGAAATATGTTTGCTATTTTTAACAGTTTCCTGCCGTAAGGAAGCCCAAGTCGTTAGAGAAGCACTATTATGGAATTCTTCCCAGCGTGGCCTTGGATTTTATGAAGGTGCCAGAAAATCTGCATTGTTGAATGTTGCTGAAATGTTGTTTGTAGTTTAACGTGTATAAAACTGGACATGACTTCTTGTATTTGATTGTTATAGCAGGAACAATTTTTATTCACTTTAAAGGAGACAGTTTATTCCAATAAAAGAAAAGCAAATTTATATTTATCCAAAAACAATGTACAAGGGGGACAACTTTTTATGAGCTGTCTTAGCCATCTCCTGGTACAGAAACCAGGTTTGTGTCCATGGTTTCACCATATGTGTGCCTGGGACTCATTGATTTGGGATAAGAAAGCAAATAGATCAACTACCCCCATAACATAAACAGTGACTAGTTTTCTTAAATTGGGTATGTTTGGCCAAAAGACACATATATCACAGCCTAGCTGTAAACCACAATACAATTTGCCAACCACTGGGGGAGGGGGAAGGGAGAAGAAACAAAAAGAAGAAATACTACAAGACTGATACTGGAAATCCACCTATATTATAAACCCTGCAGTGAATGAGTTCAATTTGTTGTTAACCTTGGCAGCTGTTAGAAGAACAAAGTAATCAATGCTGAAATGTTCTGATGCACCGACCACACTACCATGAGACAAGTATAGAATGTGACCACCTGACCGAGTATACTGTCTAACAGGCACATTGTCTTCTTCTTAGTGTTGATTGGTTGTAAACTTCAGGAAAAGTTCTGATTGATCGTTCACTTCTGGCTTGTTACAGAATTTGAGTTTTGTGTGCTCATCATTTTCTTCTTCTTCTTCTTTGCGTTCACCAGCTGTAAACTCTGGTGGAAAGTTCTGGTTGTTCGTCCACTTCTGGACTGCAGATCCTGAGTGTTGCGTGTGCATCCGTTTGATAGATCTGACACATTTGTGTGTAGACTGTTGGTTCCTTGCCTCTCGGGCAGATGCACTCCGACTTCGAAGGAAGCTCCGAATTAGTCGACTAATTACGCCATGCTTTTGGGCAGGCAGTGGGTCTATTCTTGTTTTCCCTATAATAGGGCCCCGAAACCCACACAGGGGACTCATCATTTTAACATCTGCTTTATTTGTATCCACACTGTTGGTTTTCAGGCAGATGCACTCTGACTTTAAGGAATTACCCTAATTCATTGCCATTTTTGACATGTTTATTAGGGGACATGGAATAAGGGGACATGGAATATATTCTATATCCCCTTCCAGATTGGGACCCAGAACTGGCACGAGAAGGCAGATTCACTCCAGAGGACATTCTCTGTCTATGGCTAGTTAAAAAAAAAAAAAAAAATTTGATTTTGATAATTATAATTCAAAGATTTATGCAAGACTTAAAATTTTTAGTAATTGAAACCATAACATGGGAGAAAAAAACCATAAAACCTAGAGATCAACTGTAAAAAATAATGCATAACCAGGCTGAAAAGTAGAATCAAAAGTTAGTTACATATCCTTGACAGGGCCTCACAAACCAGTAGCTGCATTTATTGACTGTTATTGTGGTTTTACTAGACAGTTTTATGTTCAGTAGTTGCCAGATTAAAGTCATATAATGTATGTTTGTGTTATTCAGGCTTGTCTGATGTTTGTGTTATTCAGGCTTGTCTGATGTTTGTGTTATTCAGGCTTGTCTGATGTTTGTGTTATTCAGGCTTGTCTGCAGCTTGAACCTTTAAACAGGGCCACTGGGGATGACTGTGTCAACCATGTGGTGTTTCAAACTGAGAGAGTTCTAGACCGCCATCTTTGCCAGACGCCGAAAACCAACAGTGGCCACAGCTGTAGCAAACGCAGGAAGACAGAAAACAGCCAGATCCAACAGAATAGGTTTGGTGTTTATAGCTGATCATGGATATCTTTCTGGTTTTTAATATTTGAATGTCTGTGTTATTTAGTTTGTATCTTAATGAGGGACCTATCACCCACCCGCCTCGATTGGGTCATTAATGCCCAGGAATCGTTCCTTCCAGACAAAGGCATCCCATGAGGATACACCAGAAGTTTTTCCATGAAGATAAATCAGGAATTCTTCCTTGAGGATACAGTAGGAGTTCTTCCCTCAGGATACATCAGAAGTTCTTCATTGAGGATACACTAGGAGTTCTTCCTTGAGGGTACACCAGGAGTTCTTCTATAAAGATACATCATGAATTCTTCCTCGAGGATACACCAGGTGTTTTTCCTTGAGGGTACACCAGGAGTTCTTCTATAAAGATACATCATAAATTCTTCCTTGAGGATACACATAGGAGTCCTTCCTTGAGGATACATGAGGAATTCTTCCTTGAGGATACATGAGGAATTCTTCCTTGAGGATACACCAGGTGTTCTTCCTTGAGGATATATGAGGAATTCTTCCTTGAGGATACATGAGGAATTCTTCCTTGAGGATACACCAGGTGTTCTTCCTTGAGGATACATGAGGAATTCTTCCTTGAGGATACACCAGGTGTTCTTCCTTGAGGATATATGAGGAATTCTTCCTTGAGGATACACCAGGTGTTCTTCCTTGAGGATATATGAGGAATTCTTCCTTGAGGATACATTAGGAATTCTTCTTTGAGGATACATGAAAATTCTTCCTTGAGGATACACCAGGTGTTCTTCCTTGAGGATACATTAGGAATTCTTCTTTGAGGATACATGAAAATTCTTCCTTGAGGATACACCAGGTGTTCTTCCTTGAGGATACATGAGGAATTCTTCCTTGAGGATACATTAGGAATTCTTCATTGAGGATACATCAGGTGTTCTTCCTTGAGGATACATGTAAAGGATCTGTTTCCACGACTTGAGACACATTGAACACATGATGCCACTGCTATATTTCTAATATAATAACTATTCATAACTGTATAAGTGATGTGTGCTAGATGCCATTACTTCTCAGACAGCTTCTTCTTAGCAATCACTGGCTGTAAACTCTAGCACACAGTTCTGGTTATTTGTCCACTTCTGGACTGTGTTTTTGGTCTAGAACTTGAGTTTTGAGTAACTGATTCAGAAAACATTCTGAGGAAGATCAGAACAGGTATACTTCGTGCAGAGTGGCATGCTTCGCTGCGGAGGACATGGGTGAGGAGTATTGTCTGGATTTTTTCACCCGGGCACGCCGGTGTGTTGGGTGTGACAAACCAACGGAATATGTCAGTCCGGCAAGAGTTAATTGCATCTTTTGGTTAAAAGAATTGCGCACTTAAAATAAATATAGTTGAATATAGATGCGAGAAGAGTAGAAAATGTACGAAGGCGCACATAACTTATGACGTTAGCTTAGTGTTACTAGGAGAAAACCTTAGAGCTAATCATTCATCACTACATCAACGACAGCCCCAGCCTTTCCATCGGCCTAAGACCAAAAGAAATAATATTAATAATACGAATTCAGGTTCCCTGTAACCCTATGGATGGTGAACAACACAGTAGAAGAGAAATCCGAAATTAATTGACGACTGTTGCAGATAACCAATCACTACAATTGTTGCCGCCAGTACATTGTCCATACATCCGGAGAAAGCTATATTTACCTGCAACTATCCTAGAGCTGAGTGACATTTGATGTATTGGAAGTTTTGTTGTGGTATATGATGAGACCGTGATTTGTTTTTTTAGTTGAATAATTTATTGGGATTTCTGGACTGTGTTATGGCAATACAATTGTTGATTTAGAAAACTCAAATATCAGATTATATCAATTTGTATCGATTTTAATTCCTTGTGTAGACAAAGATTGTACGTTGTGAGATGCCAGTTCAATTTCAAGGACAACTTCTTTGTTTTATTCTCAAGTTAGTTTAGAAGAGAATAATTATGTATTCAATTTTCTATTCCGGGGATTTGACCCTATTGGTTTGTTTATCTGTATTTCCCTTCCTTTCTTTATGAACTGAGGGAAAGAATCAGAACAGTTCCCCTAGACTTTCTCAATTCGAGCCCTGTAAAATATTTAGGAAGAATTATAGGGGATCTCCAGGCGAGGAAAAATTCCGCCAAACTAGCTTAGCACATTGGGAAATGAACAGGCGGACAGACTGGCTGGCTCTGCACAACTTGGTGGAATACTGATACATGATAGGGCAGAAGTGGTTAGTGCCTTGTGGGAGAGCATGTTCAGTTCGGAGGAGCAGATGGATCACCACAGTCTGGTGAGATTGATGCAGCGGGGAGTGGCAGATGCTCGAGACTCAGAGGAAAGGCAAGACAGACGTTTAATCAGAATGCTACTGGCACCATTAGTATCGGAACTCTTCGCTGGCTGCTTAAGATGGGGACGGAGCACTTATGGGAATGCCCTGAGTGCTGTGATGTCGGTTCTTGAATAAAATCCAATAAAGTTCTGTGTGTACATCCATTTGAGAGATCTGGCCTTCGTTGACTTTCACAACATGCCTGTGGGGGGGGGGGGGGGGGACATGGGGGACAGTGGTACAGTGGGTCTGGTCTTTCCTTCTCCCCCTCAGTGTAGAACCCCCGAAAGACATTACCCATACACGCTGCAGGGCAAAATATCGGGGGCGGGGGACAAATATCGGGGGGGGGGGGGGACAGAACCACTGCCCCCTCCCAGCAAGCATGTTGTGAAAGTTGACTAATTATTAGTGTTTTCTTTTGTCGTCTGCTTGAGAGGTGGGGGAACTAACAGTTTTCATACAAATAAACCCGATCTGTGAAACAGATGCACATGCCAGACTGAAGTTCTGGGACAAGACTCAAGTTCTGGGACAAGACTCAAGTTCTGGGACAAGACTCAAGTTCTGGGACAAGACTCAAGTTCTGGGACAAGACTCAAGTTCTGGGACAAGACTGAAGTTCTGGGACAAGACTGAAGTTCTGGGACAAGACTGAAGTTCTGGGACAAGACCCAAGTTCTGGGACAAGACTCAAGTTCTGGAACAAGACTGAAGTTCTGAGACAAGACTGAAGTTCTGGAACAAGACTGAAGTTCTGAGACAAGACTGAAGTTCTGGGACAAGACTGAAGTTCTGAGACAAGACTGAAGTTCTGGGACAAGACTCAAGTTCTGAGACAAGACTGAAGTTCTGGAACAAGACTGAAGTTCTGAGACAAGACTGAAGTTCTGGAACAAGACTGAAGTTCTGGAACAAGACTGAAGTTCTGGAACAAGACTGAAGTTCTGAGACAAGACTGAAGTCCAGAAGTAAACCAACAGCCAGAGTTTACAGCCAGAGTTTACAGCCAGTTAAAACTAAGAAGAAGAAAGACTAACATTATTTTTCATTTTTTTAACAGAGATTCAGGTGTCACGCAGAATGAAAATGAGGCAATGGACATTGAACTAGAGAAGCAGACGGAGCAAGAGAAAACAGAAGTGGCCATTGTTAGCCAGGCAGGAAGTGAAATGTCAGCCACCAATCAGCAGCAAACAGATGAAACAGGTGCTGTATGTTTGACATTTCATCAGTGTGATGTTGAGTTGTGTTTATTTATAACCAGGACCTATGCTGGCATGTGACAGGGAATGCATTAAGAAAATCTGAGAACAAAAAAATTAGATTGTCTTTAAACTGTAACCCCCCCAGGCTCGTACAAATACAGGAATAAAAGTAAAATATAAAAAAAAAAAAAAAAAAACACCACACACACACACACACACACACAAACACACATCACGCACACATGCACACACACTGTACTGTAACATAACACACCCAGTGTTGCCACTTTTCTTTGCCAAAAAACATCCAAAGTGGCAACACTGAACACACCATGCCAAGTATGGTCCTTCATAGTGCCTCGGTCTTTATTGTGGAAAAACATTACGATGAAGAGGAAATGGTGATCGATGGCATATCATCAAGTCTTCTACTGTCTTCCCAATACTCACATTGGCAGTCTCTCTAGACATGGACGAAACACCCCAGCGAACTATGTCCCAGGTGCCTGCTACGGGCAACTGACACCTGACCACGCAGATACACCTGTGCGTCTGCTAGCCTAGCCACTCATTGAAGTATCGCTGAATAACATCTCGTCAATCAGCCTCCGATTCCTCCACCCACTTTCCATCACACCTACACATTGGTTAACACACAAGGTCCCCCGGCACCTTCCGTGCCCTACAGAAATCTGTCAATCACGTGTCCCCTAGTCGCAATACTGTCGACCCCAAAACACATGGCCGACACAAGTCCATTCCAGACAATCTCTGACAGAGTTCCCCAAAAGTCCAACTCACGATACACCAAAATAATCCCAGACGGTTCCCAGGAATTCCACAGAATAAAACATTGTTAAAACATTGTCCATTCAACCACTAGACTTGAACAACACGTCCATACAGTAAGACGAACTAAAAGCAACTAACCTGGACACGGGTTCACGTTCAGCAGCCTGTCACACCTGGGTCTCACAAAACCCGTGGAAACTTCTGTTTCCCGTTAATCTAAAGAAATCTTTGTTTCATGTGCCTAAACAGAAAAACATGACAGCGAAAAACTAACAAAGTCCTCCATTATTAAGGAGTCGGTGTTAAATATAAACTTTGTGACTAAAGATTCAAATCAAGAAGTCAGCGTGCCCAAAGACTTCAAGAGAAAAAGCACACCCCAGCCACCGAAACATTGGATGAATAATCAGGGTAAATGTACGGAAGGGTTGCACAATAAGGGGGAGATAAATGTTGGACTTCCTGTTTCAAGAGGAGAGAGTCGCACAAGTTATTCCAAATCTTATATAGATCCTATAAAACGAGAATCAGAAAATGTTCCTAGTGTTTCAAGCAGTGGAATAGTTCTCGGAGACACTCTAAAGAAGCCACTAGGCGGAAACATGGATAATATCCATGTTTCAACATTTGCTGATTTCCGTGTGGGGAGCATTTTAGATTTTGCATCAGGTGCAGCAAATCAACCATCTGCTCCATCCGTCAAATCATTCAGAAAGGTACAAGAGCGAAGTGTTGATGACAGTAACGAGTTCAATGAAGAAAATAATGAAAATATTGAATGGGGGAACAATGGCTCCAGGTTTCTGAAATTAAAAGGAAATGTTTCTTTCAGCGATGAACAGAATAAACATCACGTTCCTTCACAGTTCAGCCATCCTGATCTGTCGGTTTCTTATGACCTGAAAAGTGGAACCGGCAAGATGGAAGGCAGCTACACACTCTCCAACCAATCCAGTACGGAGACACATCATGTGATCAGTCAGAATAATGGACAGAATAACAACAGCGGCACTGTGAACTCGCTTTCTATAACTAAATTGAATACTGGAGTTAACACGGACAGACGGAAGGTGAGTGTGGTGGAAGGTGTGTGACTGAGGGTGTGTGCGATAGAAAGTGTGTGATGTATGGTGTGTGATAATGGGTGTGATAGAAGGTGTGTGACAAAAGGTATGTAATAGAAGTCATTTGTGGCAGAAGATGTGTTTGATGAAATGTAAAATGATAGTGAAATTGGTCCAGTACAAGTTGACTAGAGTGGCAGTCTAACACCTCTCTCTGTCTCTCTGTCTCTCTCTCTTTCTCTCACTCACTCTCTGTCTTTCTCTCACTCTGATTTACTGTCTCATGTTCTCTATCTCTCTCTGTCATGTGCTCTCTCTGTGCTTTTCATCGCTTGTGTGATGTCCTGGTGGGGTAGAAAGTCAGTCTGTCAGGTTTAGATAGAATAAGTATTAGAATCCTTCCTTGTGCTGCACCAGCTATTTATGAGTCGTTAACCTTTGTGTATAACCAGTGTCTCGCCAAAGGCCACTTTCTAATTGCCAGCGTGTATCCTCACCTGAAATCTGAATCATGTGATGGTCGTCTCCATAGAAATCACAGACATTGTTTGTCCACTTCTCAACTTTGATCTTGTTCTAGAAACTGAGTGTTTCATGCACATCCTGTTGTTTGTTTGTTTGTTTAAACAGATCTGGCTCTTGCCTCTCTCAGGCAGTTGCATTTCTACTTTGAGGGAAATGTTGATCCAATCTATTAAAACCGACAAACTCTCAGATGCCAGCATCAGAAAGGCACCATCTGGAGAAACCCAGTCTTACCCCCCTCTAAAATGTTGGACTGTCCTGTGACGTCACCTGGGGTAGGATATTAATAAAGAACCCATTCTTCATCATCGTCATTATCCTGTCGTGTCATTATATGTCCCATAGGGCTGCAGTCTATTCCTCCATTCTTTTCTGTCCTTGCGGTGAATTTAGTATGATGTTATCACAGTCAACATCACTGCATGCAGGACATTCCCGTGTGTGCTCAGTGCCCCAGTGCAGCAGCCATTCCAAGGTACCCGTATTTGTTGTTCGCCTGAGAAGTTAGTTATGGTATCTCCTGTCTTGACCTTGAAGATGGCATAGACATGCTTCACCAAGCTTACTCCCAGGTCATGCAGTCATGTTAACATCAGCGATTCATCTTGATTCCCCCAACCCAGTCACTGATGATGTCAGCTTTGTCCATGCTTCTTCCAGTTTGCATTGATGGTTACCAGGTGAATCCAGTTTAGCACCTTTGGCCTCTCTCATCAACGTTTGTTTTAGGTTATTTGTTTCTTGTGGGCGTCCTCGCTTTTACAATCCCTTTTCCCCCCATTTTTTTCAGTAATTCTTTGCTTGTTTCTTCTCACAATGTGTCACACCATCTTTTTTGTCCTATAGTTGTTGATTCCAGTGGTTGCCCTGTCATGTCTCTTATTTGTTAATTTTTCTTCACCCCTATTGAATTTCTCCTATTTTATATTCAACATTTTACGCAGGCAGTTGTTTTCAAATGCGTTTAACTTTCATTCTGTGTTTTAAGTTGTTCTCCAAACTCACTGGCATATGTTAGAAGTGAAGTAACATTAGAATTGAAAATATGTAGCATGATTGTCAAACTATACAGTTTAGACTTCCAGATTTTGTTCAGGCTTGTAAAAGCTGCTGATGACTTGCCTGTGTGTGTTGTAATTTCTTTCTTTATGTTAATTTCCTCGAATATCAAAATTACTACCTAAATAGGTAATTTGATCTATTTTATTCCATTTTGTCACCACTTTTTATATCCAAATAGTTAATCTGGTTCTCTTTATCCTAGTATCATTATTTTAATTTTAATTGATCCTGGAACAGATGTTGAGTGCTTCAAACAAGTAGTTTTGAAGATTTAGAAAGTGTTGAAGTTTCTTCATCTTTATTTTCCTTGGCTGTAAACTCTGGCAGAAAGTCCTGACTGTTCTGCTACTTTTGGACTTTGGTCTTGTTCCAGGACTTAAGTGTTGCATGTACATCCATTTGACAGTTCTGGCTTATATATGAGGGAGAGCCACCGTGGTGTAGCAGTAAGATGCTCGCCTGTAGATCAGAAGGTCGTGGGTTCAGGCCCTCCCAGCCTTGACTTGAGTGGGTACCAGGTACTGTCCTGGTGAGTAAATGAGGCTGGCCTGATGTTGATGACCTACCCAGTGCCGGTTGGTCTTTCAATGTAGGTCTAGCCCTTTATGCCCAGTATGCCTGAAGGCATGGGAAAGCCACCTTTACTTTTACTTATATATATATGCAGACTGTTAGTTGTTCATCTCTCAGGCAGATGCCTGTCAGGCAGATGCCTGTTTTAGAGGAAATATCAGACCTATCTACATTGGGAACCTGGTCTAAGATGACCGTAGAGACGTGTGGACAGGTCTTGACCAGTGTGAGCCCTGTACTTGAAGTGCCACCTGGTGGGATTCAGCATCTCAAAAAGGTTACATTAATTACAGACCAGTGCAGAAAGAGTTAAGTGCTTGGCAGACTGGAGTAAGAAGTCATAACTATTTACAACTTTTGATCTTCATTTCTGTGTATTGACTCTTATGCTTCAGTCTATTCATTCTGTGTTTAAAGTTTGTCTTGTATCTTCAACTTTATACCTTTGTCACATTTTCAACCTCACTCACTTTTTGTATACAGTACAGATTTAAATTTGAAAAAAAAAAAGGAAAAAATTAAGAATACATGAGATGAGATGTTTGGTGACTTTTTCCTTGTTGTATTCTCTGTATTTAGCTTCAGGCTGTGGGAGCTGACCGAAGCAGGGATGGTCCTTACCTGGTGTCCAAGTTAGGCCATTCCCGGAACAGATACTTAGGTTTGTCTGCCAGTGTTACTTACTGATAGATACTCATGATAATATTTAGGCTCTTGAGCAGGCACCTTAGTAGATTTCCTTCTTTCCTTTCTTACTTATTCCCTCTCTTCCTTCTCTGTGTATGTGTGTGTGCATGTGAGTGCATGCGTGCTGCATTTTCTTCTCTTTATCCCATTCTTCTTTTCTGCCCCTTCCCTTCTTTTCTTCCTACATTCTCTGCTTTTCCATTCCCCCCCTCTCCCCTCGCATTTTTTCTTTCTTTCCACCCACTTTTCTTTTCTCATATTAATTTCATTTCCTTCTTTTTCTTCTCTCCCTTCTTCTAAATCTTTTCTTTTCTTCCTGTTTCCATCTCTCCCCATCTTCTAATAATTTCTTCATATTCTTCCTCATCTTCTTTCTTTTCCTTCCCTAACCAAATTCCCTTCTTCCAACTTTCATAAGATAAGTTTACAATTACTTCAGATTAAAAGGTAAGGAGTTTGTTTCTTTAGAGAGATGTCTGCTTTGTTACTGATGGTAATTATACATGTTTTGTAAAAAAGGCCAGATAACAAATTTGGTCCAAGAAGTTAGATTAATAGATTTATATTTCACCAATGGAAATAGATCAAAAGGCGTAGGTTTCATCATTGAAGATAAATTAACAGTTATATATTTGCTATTGTGGGCTTCAAATCCCATTTTGAGTTGAATAACAAAATAATAATATAACCACTGTTCCTTGACGAGTGTATCATACAAGTGTATCATACTAGTGTATCATACAAGTGTATCATAATATAACCAATATTCCTTGATAAGTGTATCATACAAAACAACTAATTGAGGATTTACTGAAACTGGATGATGATCCCTAAGGATCTGTGTGTTGGGCCGAAAGATAGAAGTATTACAGCCTAGCTGTAAACTGCAATACAACATGCCATCCACTCCTTTAAGGGCAAACACAAAAGAAGGAGTTATTAACTTAGTCACAAAGTCTTAGTCTTAGTCGAAGTTTCAGCTTCACCGCAATCAGGTTTCCTCACTCTTGCTCCATTCGGGTGCCAGTGCAAATCAAATGAAATGTCCTTCACTTTCACATTTGAAAAACTGGTGAACAGACAATTGTACCAAACAATCCAGAAATATGCACACGCAGTAAGTGCAAATTTCAGTTGCTAGAGGCGCCAAATCCAACATTTGCCACCAGAAATGCAGTTTATCGTTCATGGAAGTCGTCGGGCACAATAAGTTGGTTACTGTACACACAGTTTCACAAAATAAAGATTTAGTCACAAGTATAGATAAAAGATATTACCAAATATAGGCTAAAAATTAAGTAATCTTCATTCACGGCTTATGCTCTGTTGATATATGTTGCTGTTACTATATATATATATATATATATTATCTATATATATATATATATATATATATATATATATATATATATATATATATATATATATATATATATGTATATTATGTATGTATATTTGTATGTGTATATATATATATATATATATATATATATATATATATATATATATATATATATATTTTACAGGTTGTTCCACACATAGGCAAAACAAACATAACATTAATGCCATTACTTGCTTAACTCCAGCTTTTCTTATACGTGTTCTTCAACAGTGGAGGTCACACATACAAATTTGTTTTCAAAACAATAAGAGTTATTCGAGAGCATATTATATATATATATATATATACACACACACACACACACACACATGCACACACACAAATGGTTTTCTTTAATTAAAAAAATAGTAATTTTTCCTATATTTGGAAATTTATTGGACACCCTGGGGGGGGGGGGGGGGGGGGGTGTTATTAGTAGCTCTCCAGCTAGGGAGTGCAGAATAATATTTAACAATTCCGAGCACGAGCGAAGTTTGAACACTTGACCACAGGACCGTAGGAAAGTATAGCTGCTGTTCTACCACAACTTCCTGATTGCAGACGTAAGTTTAGTAATAAGATAAAGGACCCATTTCCACACCTTCAGGCATATTGGGCATATAGGGCTAGACCAGACCAGACAGCACTCGGTGGGTGATGTGGTCAACATCACACTAGCCGACTTTACCCGGTACCTGTTTAAGGATAGATCAACCTGGAAGTCAAAGGTCATTCTGATCTGCAAGCGAGCGTCTCGCTGCTATACCACGGTGACGTAAGTTTAACAATAGAGAGTAGAGTTTTAGAGTTAGTGAAAGTAAATAGAATAATAGATTTTGATTTAATAACATAATAGACATACAGTAAAACCTCATTGACACACACTTACTTTAGAAGAACACTCAGACAACTGACGAAAACTGTGCTCCCAGCAGGGGTGTATTGTTATTTGTCCTCAGCAGATTTTTAACACAAATTCTTGAATTTTTGGTCCCTTGGAATTCATTGTTTGGAATTCAAGGTTTACTGTAAATCAGTTCAGCAGTAGAAAATTAATTAACACATAGACTCTGTCATAGGACAATAGTTTTGTAAGCAAACCTAGATACAAGTAACTTAGCGCTGTTGCTTTCTGAACAGACAACTCTGGGGATTTGCTTGAGCCAGGTAACAGGAAGTGGCCTGCTTTGCTTGTTGTTACAATGTTTGCTCAGACATGTATATAGTTTCAGTTGCTGTGAAATATTTTTTACATTGCATTCTGTTTAGTTTTGAAAATGTATTTCACTTTATTATAATAACTGTTAATTTTACTTTCAAACTTAGAGCACTCAATTATTTCATTTTAAAGCAGTTGTCTTCAACACCAGTTGTTGATGATTATTTCTGTTAACTGACACTTTGAATTATGTCTGCATTTTTCTTTAAGTTTATGTTAACAGTTCTTGGGATTTGTTTTGGTCCTCTTCCTATTTTAATTACATGTTGACATTTTGACATTTTTCGGGGGGGGGGGGGGAAATAGGTGTCCTTGCCAAATACTCAAGAGGGTGGGGGTGGGTGAGCTACCTTAAAAAAAAAAAAAAAGTTGGAGACCACTGTTTTAGAGGTCAGCAGTTTTGGTGGTTATTGATATTTTTTAATTGATAAAATCTTCAGTTTTTCATGGATTTTTTTGTAATTTTATTTTTAATGTATAGATTTTGGAGGTTTTGATTATTTTGTTTCTGTAGTATTATTATTTCATTTATTAATGTAATTTGTGTGTGGCTACAAGTGCAGAAATTGTTTTTGAAAACTTTTGGCCTGTTTTTAAAGGGCTAGGGGTATTCCTAAGGCAACTAATACAAATTAGGTGTGAATCACTGTGCAGCCTCTTTATGACAGGACTATTCAACTGGTGGCCTGTGGATGCCTGGCAAGTGGCCCTCACATCATTGCCAACTGTTTTGTATTAACAATCTTTCTCTGCTGGGGCTGGGGCCATTTGCCAGTGAGGATTCTCATTTTTAACAGTTTGGCCCCCGAGTCAACTTAGTTGAATAATCCTGGCTTATAGCGATTTCAGATATGGCAGATTTCTGCTATGAAGAACAATTTGTTTATTCCCAACAATTGTTCTTGCTTTAACTCTTATCTGGATAAAAGGAATTTCTGATAAGAAGAACCATTTTTGGGTCCCTGGTGAGTTCTGCTTATCAGATCAGCACCATAATTGGTTTGTACATATTGTAGATATAATGAGTAGGGATGATCACTCTCCTTGCTCAACGCCTTCCCTTCTGAGACAATTTGTTGAAACGCATCTGGTGCCCATTTTGTATGAGACTTGACCGTACAAAATAATTTCCTACTGCTGGTAGGGATTGAACCTAACACATTTATTGACTAGCAAACAACAAACTACTCTGTTCCTTCAATTCTTAACCATTATCTTGTTTAAAAAAACCAAAAGGATTCTAACTTCATTATGCTTGCATTGTCAAATAGGAAGTTTCTAACAGTAAATGTCATCTTGTCAGTGTTTATAACAGTTGTATGTATAAATGACTGAGTTGCCAGGAAAGAACATTCTTGCATAGTTTGTGGTCTAACTTGTGCATTTTACAATCTAAACAAATACCAGCACAGAGCAGTGCTTCAGATGAATCATATCTGTGCCAATTTCTGTGCCAAACAGCTCAGCCTGTTTGATTAGCTGTTGTCAGTGTTATGCCAGGAACACATGATGTGTTCTCATACCTTTTCCATTTGATCTCAGCACACTAGAGAAATCTAACTAGATATATTAACATGCAGCATAATGTGTGTTGCCTGTTTGAAAATTATACACGCATGCTTTATTCTTTGTGGTTATGATCCCCCTCCACTGTATACGGCAAACTCTTTTATGATTACAATTCTACATTGGACTGATAAGACACAACGTCGCCTAAAAGATGATAAACATGAACTGTGATTCTCATAAACCCTTAGACACTCCATTTCCCTCAGTAAATATTGTAAACTGGAGATACTAGTTGTTCCAGCAACATCCTGGTGGCATCACCTTACACAGTATTTGGGAAACACATTAGTGAAATGGCTCAACACTCAAAGGTCTGAGGTTTAAATCTGCATTAGGATTATTTTCTTTTTTTTTAAACCAACCTTGGCTCCCATGCAAACCCAGCCTAAGATGGAACCAGGCAATGTCATGAGAAGTAAATGCACGTCAAATTGGGGTGGCCATCTTTAAACTGTCATTATGACATTAAAATTATCCTTTGCACTGTGATGTCGCATGCTTAACACTCTTGGCATCCTTAACAAGAATATTGACAGGTTTACAAGATGCTGGCTTAAATAGTTCTGTAATTTATATTGAACTTTTGAGGTTTTCTTTTGAAGCTCCCTTTTACTTTTGCTTCTCATTTAGGTCCCTGGTACCACATGTGTGCACAACATAGCTTGTAAAGTAAGTAAAAGACCCTTTGGCACATCATGCATATAGTACTAGACAAATATTTTTATAGACCAGTCGGCAGTCAATGGGTTATGTGGTCAGCTTCCTGCCAGCTGCCCTTACTTCCCAGGACATTTCCTGGTCCCATTTTAAGCTGGGACAACCTTGGGAATCTAGGTTATACAATTAAAAGTCATGGTGTTAATCTTATTTTGGTGACAGATTTATGCTGCCATTATGTGTTCCTTGTTATTTCGTCTAGCTGAGATCACACAGATTTCCAAACTAATTTTTGCAGAGTTAGGCCACTCGCAGCATGATGTACAGGACAGCCGTTTTTTACAGCTGCACAACAGCAGACAATATGGCCGCTACCCCCTGTACAACTTGAGGACAGAATCTCCATCTGTGAGTCCGTACCTGTCCTGGTGAGTCATATCTTTTGTACCATTTTCCCCATTTGACTCTGCCGTGATATGGGCTGTTAGCCAGTCGTAGTTTACAGCTAGACTGTGTTGTCTGCCTCTTTCAACCCAACACATTTGATTTCAACAAAACCCTCAATAGTTGACTTTTAGACATGTTTGTTGAGGGGTCGGCATCTGTGGCTTAGGGGTTGAAAATGCACCTCTGAAAGCCGGGGTGCCGGGTTCGATCCCCACTATAGATGATTTGCCTTGCATTGGTTTTGACAGTGGTACTGAGAGCTGACCGTCAGAAAGCAGTGGCAAACTACTGAACACGAATTTTTGGTTAAACAAATCACAAGAGCCAAAAAATGCTGGGGTTGGTTCTCTAATGTTCTGTAAAAAATGTGCAACAAACTTTGTTGAGGGGACAGAGGATTTATTATCCCCCACACCCCATCCCCCACACCCCATCCCCCACACCCCATCCCCCACACCCCAACCCTCCCACAATAGGGTTCTTTGAATGACACAAGGATCACCAACAGTTAGGATTAGAATGAAGCTTTGACACCAGTTGGAGCATTTATTCAGGTATCCATGTACAGTTGTAGTCTCCAACCTTGGGGCACCACTTCCTGGGGGGGGGGGGGGGGGGGGGGGGGGGAGGCCCTGGGAAAAAAAAGAAGGGGGGGGGGGGGTTAAGGAAGTTCCAAGGGAGGGCATCAGGCAGTTCTGAAATTGAGTGCATTTGTACTTAACAGTCATGAAAAGAAACATTGTTACCAGCTTCATCTGGAGAGTGATATACAGTGTGCCTTGTCCAACATGAAACAAAACAATAGCAGATATCAAGAAAAAACAGTGGCAACCATCACATTGATGTTTGGACACCAAATTGTCAGTTTTTGGTGATTGTTTCTTTTGTTATTCAACATTTTGAATTATGTTTTTGGTTTTTCCCAAGTCTTTATTACCAGTAGTTAGGACTTTTTTGTGTGTCTTCCTTTTTCTAATCATTTTTTGCAATGTTAGAGAGGAGGTGGGGGGAGGTTAGGGTGGGGTGTGAAGGAAGGCAGGATCTTGCCATACACTCAAAAGGGGAGGGGGGGGGGGGGGGGGGGGGTGTGGCACTACCTAACAAAAGTTGAAGACCAATGATGTAGAGTGAACATAATCCATTACACAATACACATTACACATTACACATTACACAATACACATTACACAATACACATTACACAATACACATTACACAATACACATTACACAATACACATTACACAATACACATTACACAATACACATTACACATTACACATTACAAAGCTAACTAAATTCTCAGTGAGTGAAATAACATGTTTGAAACTTGTGACACAACTGTTTCTTCAGGAGGGTATCAGAACCTGCTAGTCACGGTGTCAACAACAACATGGCTCGGAAGAAGCAGCAAAAGTTTGGACAGGTACGACAATTTTTGAATTCTGGGAGGTGATTACAGCCAATATTAATAGCATTAATAAAAAAAATGATAATTCGAGATTCAGCTACCAATTGAGAGTGAGCAGCTAGAGCTGGTAGTTACATAGATCACCCATTGCTGTCATTGGAACACTCAGATATATTCTCATATATGTTCTAGACACTGCAATATTCATTAAATCATGTGCCATCTCCACATTGAATGTTGGCTACAGAGGATCTCCAATAGCTGTGTCTCTTGACTTGATTTTATATTCTCTCAGACTGTCCATCTCTTTATCTTGTCCTCTCACGTATATGATTTAGTTTAATTGTGATAATCTTTCATTGTAATACTCTAATTCTTACCAGTTAAGTGTCAGTGTGTTGACAGTGACTCTTAAAGATCTCTTAACTCTTTGAATCCCCGAGGGTTTAGCATCACGGGCCCAAGGGTAGTTAAGAGAGACATAAAATCAGTGCATCTTGCGTTGTTTGGGCTTCAAGGTAGGAATCTATGATTGTATGATGCGTTTCTTCGGACTTGGGGAATTAAAATGTGCACCATGTCAAAACGGTACAGTCCACAAATAAACCAATAATCTTCATAACACACACGACTGGTTTGCCTGTGTAAACCTACCAGGAAAAAGATAAGAATAAAATTAGAATAAAGATTAGAATAAAGATAAGAATAAAGATTAGAATGAAGGTTATAAAGTTTTGAATAAAGATTAGCATACAGATTACTGATCCTAAGTGATATCACAACATGGCGATCAGACCAAGTTTAATTTAAGCATTTACTACTGACATATCAGTCTTTGTGAAGTGCGCATTATTCTGTGACTTGATAGAAGAAAAGTGACCAGAGAGTCAGCCGACAGGCACTGAAATGAGAAATGAACAAATGAGGAAACAAGAAAATCCAGAAGAAATCACAGATGAACATCGATGAGAAAGGCCAAAGATTTGGGTCTGGATTCCATCCTTAATACTGAAACAGTCACACATAATAAAATGAAATGGATCAATCGATTTATCAGTTTGTTACCTCTGAGATGCTACCTAAAAGTTTACCATACCATCCTGAAATAAAAAAAAAAAGTCTAGAGAGCCGACCAACATGGCAGATCCCATGTACCCCAGTCAACTCCCATGTAGCCTAGTCAACTCCCATGTACCCCAGTCAACTCCCATATACCCCAGTCAACTCCCATGTAGCCCAGTCAACTCCCATGTACCCAAGTCAACCCCCATGTACCCCAGTCAACTCCTATGTACCCCAGTCAACTCCCATGTACCCCAGTCAACTCCCATGTACCCCAGTCAACTCCCATGTACCCCAGTCAACTCCCATGTACCCCAGTCAACTCCCATGTACCCCAGTCAACTCCTATGTACCCCAATCAACTCCCATGTACCCCAGTCAACTTCCATGTACCCCAGTCAACTCCCATGTAGCCCAGTCAACTCCCATGTACCCAAGTCAACCCCCATGTACCCCAGTCAACTCCCATGTACCAAAGTCAACTCCCATGTACCCCAGTCAACTCCTATGTAGCCCAATCAACTCCCATGTACCCCAGTCAACTCCCATGTACCCAAGTCAACCCCCATGTACCCCAGTCAACTCCCATATACCCCAGTCAACTCCCATGTACCCCAATCAACTCCCATGTACCCCAGTCAACTCCCATGTACCCCAGTCAACTCCCATGTAGCCCAGTCAACTCCCATGTACCCAAGTCAACCCCCATGTACCCCAGTCAACTCCCATGTACCAAAGTCAACTCCCATGTACCCCAGTCAACTCCTATGTAGCCCAATCAACTCCCATGTACCCAAGTCAACTCCCATGTACCCCAGTCAACTCCTATGTAGCCCAATCAACTCCCATGTACCCCAGTCAACTCCTTATAATTATAAAATCCATAAGGGCTAACCAGCTAGGTGCAACCTGCGGTCCTGTGTGGGTAAGGGCATGAACCAAATGGAAGAATAAACTGCAAGTTGTGTGTCACAAATAACAGCATAGTTGGATAATGATGATGATGATGATGATAGATTATAGTTTCTGGCATCATTTATGATAAGTGAATTTGTAACTACAGAACGATATATTGTTGTCACTACATTGACTTAATTGCGTATTTATAACCTATTTATGCAATTATTAACTAGAAGTATATTTATCACTTATCTGTGTTTTCATCATCTAGTGGTGTATTTATAACCTACTGGTGCATTTATAAACTATTTATGCATTTATCACATAGTGGTATATTTATAACCTATTTATCCATTTACCACCTAGTGGTGTATTTATCACCTAGTGGTGTTTATCACCTATTGGTGTATTTATAAACTAGTGATGTATTTATAACCTATTTATGCATTTATCACCTAGTGGTGTATTTATCACCTAGTGGTGTATTTAAAACCTATTTATGCATTTATCACCTAGTAGTGTATTTATCACCTATTTAACAGATACCAGAGCCCTTTGAAGATGGTCGCCTTTCTCCGTCTGTCAATTTGTACAATGCTTCTCGGCTGCCACGTCACGACACACATGACCGAGATGATTCGGATTATGTACTTGACTTCACCACACCTCGGGATGCTGGAACATCCCAGAGAATTCAAACCCCCACCCCTTTGCCATTTCAGGCCAGCGTGAACTCCAGGAAGCCAAACAGGACATTAAAACAGCCAGTGGCGCTTAGACGATCAGCAGTTCCTAACACTCCCAAAGAACGGGTTAGAGAAATGTTTGAAATTAGATCATGGTGTTTGTCATCGTAATTATTGTCATCACCATCATCATCATCATCGTCATCATCATCATCATCATCATCATCATCATCATCATAATCATCATCATCATCACATCATCATCACATCATCATCATCATCACATCATCATCATCATCATTATCATCATCATCACCATCACTATCATCATCATCATCATGTCATCATCACATCATCATTATCATCACCATCACTATCATCATCATCATCATCATCACCACCACCACTATCATCATTATCATCATCATCATCATCACCATCACTATCATCATCATCATCATCATCATCCCATCATCATCACATCATCATCATCATCACCACACTATCATCATCATCATCGTCACCATTACCACCACCACCATCACTGTCATTATCATCATCTTCATCATCATCTTGATCATCATCACATCATCATTATCATCATCGTCGTCTTCACCGTCAACCTTATCTCCATCGGACACATGGACAAATGCCTGGATGGTTTGGCCACATGGCATTATAAAGATAAGAACACAGACCTAATCTGAGATTGGTGATCACATGATACAGCAAATCATAGCCACCAATATTGTTTGATATAGCACCTGAGGAGGAGCTACATTTGCTATCTTTGTTAGTGTTTTCTGTCCTCTTCCACTAGATAGTGTTTTCTGTCCTTTTGAATGAAATCAGTGTTTTCTGTCCTCTTCCACTAGAAAAGTTTTTTTCTGTCCTCTTCCAATAGATAAGTGTTTTCTGCCCTCTTCCACTAAATCAGTGTCTACTGTCCTCTTCCACTAAATCAGTGTCTACTGTCCTCTTCCACTAGAACAGTGTTTTCTGTCCTCTTCCACTAAATCAGTGTCTACTGTCCTCTTCCACTAAATTAGTGTCTACTGTTCTCTTCCACTAGAACAGTGTTTTCTGTCCTCTTCCACTAAATCAGTGTCTACTGTCCTCTTCCACTAAATCAGTGTCTACTGTCCTCTTCCACTAGAACAGTGTTTTCTGTCCTCTTCCACTAAATCAGTGTCTACTGTCCTCTTCCACTAAATCAGTGACTACTGTCCTCTTCCACTAAATCAGTGTCTACTGTTCTCTTCCACTAAATCAGTGTCTACTTACTGTCCTCTTCCACTAGAACAGTGTTTTCTGTCCTCTTCCACTAAATCAGTGTCTACTGTCCTCTTCCACTAGATCAGTGTCTACTGTCCTCTTCCACTAGAACAGTGTTTTCTGTCCTCTTCCACTAAATCAGTGTCTACTGTCCTCTTCCACTAGAACAGTGTTTTCTGTCCTCTTCCACTAAATTAGTGTCTACTGTTCTCTTCCACTAAATCAGTGTCTACTGTCCTCTTCCACTAGAACAGTGTTTTCTGTCCTCTTCCACTAAATCAGTGTCTACTGTCCTCTTCCACTAAATCAGTGTCTACTGTCCTCTTCCACTAAATCAGTGTCTACTGTCCTCTTCCACTAGAACAGTGTTTTCTGTCCTCTTCCACTAAATCAGTGTCTACTGTCCTCTTCCACTAAATCAGTGTCTACTGTCCTCTTCCACTAAATCAGTGTCTACTGTTCTCTTCCACTAAATCAGTGTCTACTTACTGTCCTCTTCCACTAGAACAGTGTTTTCTGTCCTCTTCCACTAAATCAGTGTCTACTGTCCTCTTCCACTAAATCAGTGTCTACTGTCCTCTTCCACTAAATCAGTGTCTACTGTTCTCTTCCACTAAATCAGTGTCTACTGTCCTCTTCCACTAAATCAGTGTCTACTGTTCTCTTCCACTAAATCAGTGTCTACTGTCCTCTTCCACTAGAACAGTGTTTTCTGTCCTCTTCCACTAAATCAGTGTCTACTGTTCTCTTCCACTAAATCAGTGTCTACTGTCCTCTTCCACTAAATCAGTGTCTACTGTTCTCTTCCACTAGATCAGTGTCTACTGTTCTCTTCCACTAAATCAGTGTCTACTGTTCTCTTCCACTAAATCAGTGTCTACTGTTCTCTTCCACTAAATCAGTGTCTACTGTTCTCTTCCACTAAATCAGTGTCTACTGTCCTCTTCCACTAAATCAGTGTCTACTGTTCTCTTCCACTAAATCAGTGTCTACTGTTCTCTTCCACTAAATCAGTGTCTACTGTCCTCTTCCACTAAATCAGTGTCTACTGTTCTCTTCCACTAAATCAGTGTCTACTGTTCTCTTCCACTAAATCAGTGTCTACTGTCCTCTTCCACTAGAACAGTGTTTTCTGTCCTCTTCCACTAAATCAGTGTCTACTGTTCTCTTCCACTAAATCAGTGTCTACTGTCCTCTTCCACTAAATCAGTGTCTACTGTTCTCTTCCACTAGATCAGTGTCTACTGTTCTCTTCCACTAAATCAGTGTCTACTTACTGTCCTCTTCCACTAAATCAGTGTCTACTGTTCTCTTCCACTAAATCAGTGTCTACTGTTCTCTTCCACTAAATCAGTGTCTACTGTTCTCTTCCACTAAATCAGTGTCTACTGTTCTCTTCCACTAAATCAGTGTCTACTGTCCTCTTCCACTAAATCAGTGTCTACTGTTCTCTTCCACTAAATCAGTGTCTACTGTTCTCTTCCACTAAATCAGTGTCTACTGTTCTCTTCCACTAAATCAGTGTCTACTGTTCTCTTCCACTAAATCAGTGTCTACTGTTCTCTTCCACTAGATCAGTGTTTTTAAAATTTTACAGGTGATGCTTTCCTTGAATATTTGACAGAACCCCTACCCCATCCCTTACTAACTCTCCCACCACTTACCCCAAGTTTAATAAAATTGTGATTGAGAAGAGGAGGACAAGAACAAAAGAAAATAATTAAGAACACTATTAGCAAGCACTTGGACAAAAACATCCACGTAAATCAAAATGTTAAATGACATACAAGAAACCTTCATCAGGAACTGGTAATTTAGTGTCCAAATATCAGTGTGATGGGTGACACTGTTTTGTCTTGATGCTGCTATCTGCTATTTGGGGTGTGTTGTTGGACAAGACACAAATGAATATTGAAACATTTGTTAGCATTACAGATTATTACAAGTACAAATTGCTCATCCCTTTCCCATCCATGACCCCTAAAATGTCTTTTAACGCTTGTTGGGAACGACTGTACTAGATTATGATGAAGAGAATGAAAGGAAAGGATGTTATAGAGTACTCTACTGTTTTTAAGTCTTTCAGTCCAAGAGAATAATTACTGTAACTCTTTCTGTACGCAGCAGTTGTTGCTTCAGAATGATAAATGTTGCCTCTGAACTGACTCAAGTAACAGAAGTCACAAACCTGTTGGAAAGAATACCATTAGGTGGCAGTTGCAGTCTTCTTCTTTCTTCTTTGTGTACACCAGCTGTAAATTCCTGCTTGTTGTCCACGTCTGGACTTTAGTCTTGCGTCGCCCAGCTTCTGAGTTGAGTGCATGGCGTGACACTGTGAGCTACGTGTGTTTTTTTGTTGGCACAGGAGCAGAGCAACTATGGGGTGACCCGTTTGTTATGAAGCTGAAACTAGGATTACCAGATTACCAGTCTTGCTCCAGAACTTGAGTTTTTTGCATACACAGCCATTTTACAAATCTGGCTTATTTGTATGCAGGCTGTTGGTTACTAGCCTTTGAGACAGATGTACTGTTAATTTAAAAGGAAACACCCCTAATTAGTTGACTTTTCTTTTTTGCAATGCTAACACAATTGTGTGACCAAGGGGTTAAGCTTGGTGAAGCATGTCCTTGCCATCTTTGAGATAAAGAGAGTAGATACTATCACCACCTTCTCATGGGAACAATCAGTAGTGGTACCATGGAGTGGCTGCTGCATCCGAGGACTGAGCCTACATGGGAATGCCCAGTGAGCAAAGACGTCAAGTGTGATGACAACATTTTTGTTGCCTCACAGTGGGACCCCAGAACTCACAGGGGAAACAGTTGCAGTAAAGGGGGTTAAATCTAACAATATGTTGAAACAGATTTTTTAGAAAAGTGTAAAGTCTAACAAGCTGTCATTAAATACATAGTGTGTTGCTTGGTATCAAATAAGTTGATATCATTCAGATGTACTTGTGTGTCTGTTTAGTTTATGGGACATAACTACCATTTAATGTCGCACAGATGGGCAGGTTACAGCCCCTTGACAGAGGCCAGCTGACAGCATTTTCAAATCATCAGCAGCACCAGAGCAACACTTTTGACCTTTCACCCACCACCAAATCATTTACCAAGTCGGGTGAACCAAAGATGGCAGCTGCATCGTCCATGGCAACAGCTTCTGAAGAACTTCCTGTGATTGGAACCAGGTCAAGGCAGGGCTCTCTGTTCCCAGAGGAGGATTCACAACATCACTACGGCAACACAGCAGATGCTCGCACCAGGAAAGATGTTTCAAAGTTGACCAAACCAAATCATCATTAATTGTTTGCATCATATTTTATGCTGTTAGCCAATTTCTGCGTAACTTGTGAATTTCAGGCTGTGCTTAAGAGATGGCTTTCTCAGTAAGATAACCCAGACATCTGATATTGTGTGTAGGTTGTTCCGTTCTTCTTCTTCTTCTTTCTTAGCATTCACTGGCTTGAAAGTCTGATGGAAAGTCTTAGTTGTCTGTCAGCTTCTGGACTATGTTCTTGTTCCAGGATTTGTCACTTAAGATACTAGAGATTTTGGTTCTTTATTAATATCTTACCCCAGATGATGTCACAGGACAGCCCATCATTTTAGAGGGTGGCAAGACTGGGTTTCCCGGCTTTCTGATGCTTTTAATGACCCGAAAATATCTAGAACTGGACCTTACCCTAACTCACCTGTGTCCCACAAGAGAGTGCAGCCTAGGACCCACGACTGCTTGCAGCCTAGGTCCCACGACTGCATGCAGCCTGTCTACCACCCCCTGAAATATTAGACTGTCCCGTGACCTGTAGATTTCCCCTGCTTAAGGTAGGATATTCATAAAGCACCTGGATTTTTGTAATATTTCAGTGATGTTTCTTTTTCTGTCTGGAGAAAAAAGAAAGGGGAGGTAGGGAGGAGCAGAAAATGGGTACTAAGGGATGGATGAGTGAACGAGGGGGGGAAGTATGATGGGTCAGTGAGAGTTTATTTGATGCACAAGAGAGGGTATTTGGATGGATGAGAGAGCTGAAAGGATAACGCTTGCGGGAGATGGTAGGATTGCGCTTGAGGGAGATGGAAGGAAGGATTGTGCAGGAGAGTGACTAAATAAGAATGATAGGATGACTGAGAGAGAGAGAGGGAAAGAGAGAAGGAGATGATAGAGTGTATATGAGTGGGTGGCTGAGAAAGAGACAGCCATTTATTAGCCCCTTTTCCCAATCCACTGACTTCCTGTAAGTCTGCCCATCTCTCATACTCTTTACGTTTCTCACAAGTTCAAAGATCGTCCAAATCATCTTGATGTTGTATGTTTCAGTGCAGATTAAAATGACTTGTGTTCATTGGATCAAACCACGAAAAGTATTATTTGTGTGTGTGTGTGTGCGTGTGTGTGTGTGTGGATATATATGTGAGGATATGTTAGTATGTGCATGTGGATGTGTATAATCTCTCTCTGGGTATAACATTGATGTTGAGAGCACTGACTTCATTGTTCAGAATTTAAAAAAAAAAACTTTTTTGTTCAAAGGACCCGCCACCCCCAAACCCAACATCCATGCTTTTTTTTTTAGTGAATGTATTCATATGCTTCTTCTTCTTCTTCACTTCCTCTTTTACCGCTGTGGGTGTCGAGGGAGATATAAGGTTCTGTTTCTAGCTCTTCTGGCTGCCTCGACCATAGGCACATCGAGCTGTTGTAGAGTTTCACTGATGTTATCCTTCCATCTTGTCCTTGGTATTTCATATACTGACCTCCCAAAATTGTGTGCAGTCTTTTCAATGTACACACAGTTGTTATATATATATATATTTTATAATGTAATTATGTGTAGACAGTAATTGGATTGGCTTTTTACCCCACCAGGACATCACACAAGCGATAAACACCCGATGACACAAAGTGCCACCATGCGGATGAGGATCACCGTGGAGAGGTCCCAGAAACCGCGTTCAGACATTTGGCCATAATGATGACCTGCCTATATTGCGGCCCCTGGCAAAAGCCAGAGTGGGGCTTCAAATAACAAAAAATAACATCCTAAGAAGGACGTAATTAATATATAGTAGACAGTAATTAAGATTAATCGACTTGATACTGTCATATTTCACACACATTATTGCAATTATGTATCCATTTTATCATATATTATTTCATAACATTATTACCTATATATCATCATCATCATCCTTTGTGTGACCTTGGATGTCACATTGGGCTCACATTCAATTCTTCCACTGCGCTCTTTTGATATCTGACATGGAGTTCAGCCCAGCATTTTTAGGTTTTTCTGATATTGATCTTCAAATTGTTTCCCTTGGACATCCTCTCTTTCTCAGACCATTTGTTTTCACATTTTAGTGCTTGTTTTGTAATTCTTTGCTCATGTTATCTCAGAGTGTGCACAACATACTGCCACCTTCTTTGTCCAGTTGCAGTCGATTATATAATATATATTCATTTAATAGTATAATACTGAGACCACATTAATGCAGTTAACGTGTGACCATAACCACGATATTCACTGAGTATAAACGCCTTAGACTGTGAGTCTCATGCCTCCTCACAGTGCAATATAACACTATCGTCTGGAAAGACGGAAAGGTGCCATGGATGAATGAAACGTGATTTATGTAAACATTTTAATTAACTTTAAGCATATCAGAGGCAGCGAAAGTGTAGACTCCAGTCCATATGGGAAACTGCATGAGCAAACCACTGCTAGAAGCAAAACTAACTTTCAAGCTAAACAAACTGCCTCATATGTCAGCCAAATTGGACAGGAAATGTCATTTAAAGATCACAGTAAGGTATAAAATTCAATTAACAGGTAAAGATAAGGTACAGAATTCAATTAAAAGGTAAAGATAAGGTAAAGAATTTACGTGACATATAAAAGTAAGATAGACAATTCAGTTGAAATAAATTATCAAGGTGACTGACTGACTTTCTACCCCACCAGGACATCACACAAGCGATAAACACCCGATGACACAAAGTGCCACCATGCGGATGAGGATCGCCGTGGAGAGGTCCCAGAAACCGCGTTCAGACATTTGGCCATATTTATGACCTGCCTATATTGCGGCCCCTGGCAAAAGCCAGAGTGGGGCTTCAAATAACAAAAAATTTCGTCCCAAAAAGGACGAAACTGGATAATATTATCAAGGTAGATAATTCGGTTAAAAAATGTCAGTTTGTCAGTAAGATAATACAATTTCAAAATGTTTGCATATATCATGATTTTACCAAACAACCCCAGCATTTTAGGCTGCTTGTGGCTTTACTAGGGAATGGAATGTTCAGTAGTTTGCCATTGCTCTCTGCAGTTATGATACTCGTACTGTTGTCGAAGCAGTTCCATCCTTAGCCACTCAGAACTGCAGGTTACACCAGTCTGTGTGGCTACAAAATGGAGGAACAGATTATGAGCTTTATGTATCATAATGGACTGTGAGCCTGATGTGTTATATAATGGTACAAAAGGGCAGTGATTGAATAAATGAATAAAACTGCCAGGTTCAGAGTCAAATATAATTTCTTGCTTTATACTTTAAAAAAAACTTTAGTTTTAAAAAAACAAAAACATCAGTACCTATTTGTTTGCAGTGCAAGACAACACTTTATATTTTTAGATCAAGGGAAGGAATTCGATGAAGTCAACAGATGCAAATTATGGAAATTCTAGAAGATTATAGTTTTCAAGATCAACTGTTGGGTAACATTATGGCTCTTTACCAAGATAGTCAGTGCACAGTAAGAACAACAGAAGAAATGACAGACTGGTTCCCCATCTCATCAGGTGTCAGACAGGGATATGTCCTCTCATCATTGCTATTCATTACTTACGTGGATAAAATAATACAGGAGGCAAATATGGGCACTGAATAAACCAGTGTTCTTCTGGTTGCAGACAGTCAATGTCTAATACAACACCAAGAACAGAATTGATACTTTATTGACTCCTGACATCAAGCCTGCACAAAGTATAACATAAGAATAAACACCGCGAAAACTGAGGTAATGAGGACAGACAGGAAACATAATAACATGAATGTTTGTGTTAACGGTACTACAATCAAACCTGTCTTTGATGACCTGTAAGACTGGCTTTATTTCTAGCATTCACCTGATTTCATGATTTTGCATTGTGTCTTTCCTTGAAAATCTTGGTGTTACGAAATGAAGCCTTTTATTTTTGCAGAAGCTGTAGGGCATAGAATACCTTATTTCTTTTCTAGATTGTATTTCTTCTCTTAAAATTGTGTAGCAGATAAAGCTTGCACTGAAGTACATATATGTTTAAGTTCTTTTCTTGATGTTGTGTACAATTTTACAATCAGTTTTTACAATACTCACAGAATATTATTTTTAGTTACATACATGAACACTGTGCATTTGTAGCAATAAACTTGCTGACTATTTCTCATTGACATATAGTTAATTGTATGTGAACTCTTGCAGTAGGTGTGTGTGCTTTTATCTGTGGGGAATTTATCATCCCTTGATCGATAAGAATAAGAGAAGAAGGAAGGGGAGAAGAAACAGAAGAAGCAGAAGAAGAGGAGGGGGAAGAAAGAAAATAGGAAGAAGATGAGGAGGAGAAAAGAATTATTAGAAAAAATTTAAGAAGAAGAAGAGAAGTGGGAAAAATAATGTGAGTTAGAATTAGTAAACATGCAACATCACATTCCCCCATGCACCTGCGCAGCATCCTCGGGCCATTTAGACAAAACTGTTCGTTTGGCTTTCAGGCAGCGGATATAAGAGTCAGATATAAAACACTGAGAACTTTTTTTCCCTCCGTGAAAGAACATTGTAGAGTGTTGTTGTTGTTGTTGTTGTTGTTGTTGTTGTTGTTGTTGTTGTTGTTGTTGTTGTTGCTGTTGTGGTTGCTGTTGCTGTTGCTGCTGCTGCTGCTGCTGCTGCTGCTGGTGCTGGTGTTGTTGTTGTTGTTGTTGTTGTTGTTGTTGTTGTTGTAAAGTAGTTCACTATTGTTTATTGAAAGGTAGGCGGCAAGTTTACGTAAAGTAGTTCACTATTGTTTATTGAAAGGTAGGCGGCAAGTTTACGTAAAGTAGTTCACTATTGTTTATTGAAAGGTAGGCGGCAAGTTTACGTAAAGTAGTTCACTATTGTTTATTGAAAGGTAGGCGGCAAGTTTACGTAAAGTAGTTCACTATTGTTTATTGAAAGGTAGGCGGCAAGTTTACGTAAAGTAGTTCACTATTGTTTATTGAAAGGTAGGCGGCAAGTTTACGTAAAGTAGTTCACTATTGTTTATTGAAAGGTAGGCGGCAAG